GGCTTTCGTCGCCAAACACAACACTCCTGTGGTTCGTCACGCTCCGTAATCTCCCCACATGGCTCCGTGTGACTTTTGGCTATTTCCCAAGCTGAAAATGCCGCTAAAAGGAACACGAATTTAGTCGAGAGAAGACATTGTGCGAAATGCGACGGACCGGCTGATGGCCATTCCAGAAAATGCGTTCCAGCAGTGCTTTCAGCAATGGCAGGAACGCTGGGAGAAGTGTATACATTACCAAGGAGACTACTTTGAAGGGGATTAGGGTTTTGTACCTCAAAGTCAATAAATTAATTTTTGCCGACCAAAGGTCCGATACTTTTTGAACAGACCTTGTATACTAAAATGTCAAATGCACATAAATGCACACAAAAATTACTGGCATTTTAAACTTTAAGGAAAAATCTTGTAAAATCTACAACATAATTTGTTCATGTAAAGCTGGACAATCAAAAACCTTTTGCCAATTCTTAACAGTTGAATCCACTCTCCATTGATTATACTTATAAGTTTCTCCGAATTCTGATTTCCGAATAATCATCTCTTTTTACCTGGGAATGGATTAAAAATTATATCGGCTCCTGTGTGATTTTGGATTTCAAATTGGAATTCAATTCAAAAGCTTTGCTTTTCCTATTGCTATTCATCTTTACTCCTGACAATACACAAGAACGATTGAAACGACCCAGATAAAATACTTTTGTTTTTAAACACCAGAGGGTGAGCATCCAGTAAGAATGCAAACACACGGTTCACAAAACTTATTGCAAAAATGCAAAGAATCCTTCACTCGCGCATATAGGATGACCTAGGTTTTTGAAGCAATCAAAAATGAATAAAAATCTTGTCTTATATGTGAGTAAATACAATATATAATATATATAAATCCCTTGTCAATCATGACTTTCCAAACTAGTTTTGAAATAATTGAGAATTGACTTTACTTCCCATTGAGAATTGACTTACTGAAAATAACTGTAAATACATATATTGTTAAAAACATAGAACATGTATTTTGGTTGATCATTTCTGTCACTAGTTTCTTTTAATTTACTATTTACTTATTAATTTACTATTAATAACTAATAAACTGCTTTATAGATTTTCATGACAATCATCATATAATTCTATTATAAAATACTTAATCATCATATATTTTTCATCATGAAAGAAAGAAAGCAAAATGGTCTTTCAACTTGAGAGTGAGACAAATACAGAGAAAATATAATATGAATAAGACAAATTAAAATTGGTAATAATGAGCAATAACAATAAAATGTAAAATAATAATAAAATATAAAATAACTTACAGTTTGAATGCCAAATTTTTCTTGTAATTCATATGATATTGCTGTATAATTTTGACTGCACACAGCATCTGAAAATATTTTCCATTTTTCCTCATTGAAGGAGGGATTAAAAACATTCTCTTTTAAGGAACCTTCACATAATTTTGTTAATTTTGTTATTTCTGTAAATGCCTAAAGGAAAAAATACATAATTAATGTAAGAAATATGTTAATGTAATTATAAAATTTTTGATAAAAAAAAATATAATTAATATAAATTGGTTAATTCTATATACACAACTGTTCTAACAATAACAATCTTATAAAAAATATTCACTGTGATGATTTACTATTTCTAGCACTTAATCTAAAATTTAATTATCAAGAACACTATCTTAATACACTTCTCAATTTTATTAACTTTATTCATCAGAAATTTGATTATTAAAACTTTTTATTTTAAAATTAAATAATAAAATTTTAAATTTCATAAAATAATATTTGTTTAATTTTTATCGTATTAAGATCTCCATTGAAAAATTATATATTGGGAAAATTTAATATAACTGTCACATAAATAATTTAACTTATTCTATCTGTAAATAGCATATTTATTTAGACAAATGTTTAAGTAGTTATTCAGAATAAAGATTAACAAAAAATGAAGATAAAATACATGATAGCATCTGAAATTTTATGCTTATGTTCATTAATTTACTTACTTATTTGAATATAGAATGTAAAATTCATATCACTTGGAGAAGAAAACATACAGAAATTTGAAAATCCAATTTTGTCAAAGTCTTTTTCCTTTTTAATAATGAGCAAAAGCATACTTACATATATAAATTATTACAAAACTAATTTAAAATGATTAATTATTCAATATAGCAGCTTTCTTATATTCTTTCTTTACTTACAGAAAAATAAATAAATTTCCTATATATTTATTTTTACATGTATATTTTATTAATTAAAATATATCTCTGCTGGATTAAAAAATGATTTTTAAATAAAGGTAACATAATGATAGATCTAAATTAAGATTTTAATAATGTAATTGATAACACCAATCAAGCATTATTATAAAAGAGTTTTAAAGAATTTTTAAAACTTTTAGAAACATAAGAAAAGTAAAAGTTATTGTAAAAATGTAGAAAGAAAATGCTTCTATGAACTTGAACTTAAAGTTGAAGACATTGATTATTCATATTTAAATGTATTTGAAAGCTTTTTATTGATATTATGTTGAAAATATGTTCTCAATTTTATCCCAAATTTAGCTTATAAGAAGCAAAAATTACTAGTTTTTGACTTCTTAATAAGCTAAATTTATAAGGATCCATTATTTTTCAAGTTTCTAAGTAAAAATTGAACTTTTTTTAAGATTATTAAAATATTAAATTAAATGAAAAAATATTTTCCATTAATGCTTTCCAAATGTTAAACTGAGAGACAAAAAATATCATATAAATTTTTTTCTTTTTAATACTTGTGCTGTATATTTGTTTATAATTTTTACAAATAATAAAATTTTTTTATTTAAAATAAAAAATTTATTTTTGTCACCTCTAAAAACATATAATTTAGAATGCTTTCATAAAACACTATTTATTACATTAATATATTAATGTGATGACAGTTTTTTTATACGCAAAAACAACTAATAAAAATATCATGTATGTCTGTAAAACATCAAAAGGGATTAAAACTTGAATCTTTACAAATTTATTACGAACAAACAAAACTTACCTTTGGAGCAACTGAAGTCCAAAAGAATGTTTCAATAAAATCTGGTAATAATGGCAGCCAATCCTTAAGTAATTTTTGAAAATGAGGTGATTCAGGAAAAATATCATGAAGATAAAATTCTGTGACATCTATAAAATTCTAATGTTAGTTTTATAATTACTTAATAAAAATATAGAAATTATTCATTTAACTTACTTTTTCCTATAATTACTTCTGTCTTATTGGCATAAACAGAAACTATTTGAGCTAATATGTTTAGAAATTGTTTCATATGTGGGATTTTATCTATTCCTTTCTCAATTATTGGCATAAAAATTTGAAAGCTATAAAAATAATTTGAAAAATTTATTACTTTCAATGCATGATAAAAAAGAAGAAAACATAAATGTTAAAAATGTTGAAGATGAAAAAATTCAAAATACTTCTGAAAAANTGCCATTTAAAATTGTAACGACTGGTTCATTTTCTGAATATAATTCATACACATTTTCCCAAGTCACTCCATCTATTTTCAAAATCAAAAATAAAGCATTAATAAATTAAATAAGTACACAAATTTATAAAATGTAAATTAATTATTATGGAAAAAGTCACATCAAAAAATGTGAAAAATTCGTACTTATTTAATTACATTTTCAAATTTTATATACAAAGAAATTATCAGTAGAAAGTGAAGTATAAAGAAAAAATTTTAGAAAGCTCACAAAATAATATTCAACACTACATTTTTTCAATTCATGATAATTTTATTACAGTGTTTTAAACAAAAATTTATTACATAATAGAATTTGTAATGAATTTAAATGAAATAAATAAATTTAACTTTAATTGTTAATTAAGAAATTTTAACAAAATATATTTAAATTAAAATAACATTTATATAATTAATGTTTTTATAAAATAAGGAATTTAATGTTTAAAAGTAGTTATTACTATTGTAATTTCATATTATAATCAAATATTGATCTCAAATAATTCCACAAATGCTACAATAAATTTAATAAATTCTCATATATTTCTGTGCAATGTGTAAGAAATTACTTTTGACTTACAGTAAGCTAAATTCATATTAGAAAAAAATAATTACATAGAAAATCATATGATTTATTATATAACAGTATGTTAATTAATTAATCAGCATTATTATTTAGAAGTGATTTATCTATAGATAGATTAACTATAAAGTGTCAAAACTATATTGCAAAATGAAATTTTCAATATCAGCTATAATAAAGTTGAATTTATGATATTCATCAATGTACCATAATATTGAAAATTATACATAAAGTTTACTGCTCATATAATGTTAATAATATTTTTGTAGAAAAATAAACATTTTTTATACAAAATATTATGTGAAAGAAATGCAACATAGCTTCAAAACACAATTAGATAGATAAGATTCAAAAAAAAATTAAAAATTATTTAATTTGATAAATGATTTATTTTTGGAGTTTTTTTAATCGATTATCTCATTGCATGTATATTATGTATACAGTGTTTTCCAAAAGAAATTTACTATAGAAGATTGTGCAAAGAATCTTATAGGCAAATCATCAGGGGCATGTGTATAGTGTATTGGTTATATGCTGTCAATTTGGTTCTGTCAAATAGAAATTAATTGTACAAAATTCATGTGTATTCAAATCACTTTCACTAATGTAAGCCCAGCTGCATAGTTCTGTAACTAACCAATTTGTTGTCATGATTGGCCAGTAAAGTTTCATGTTCTTGCTACTATCTGCATATTGAGTATTAAAAAGAACAACTTCAACCCTCACAACATACTGATTAGTTATAGAACTATGCAACTATACCCAGTTGCAAAGTTCTATAACTATTATATGAATGGTTGAATCACTTTGAACTACATTAGTTCAAAGTGATTCAACCATTCATATAAACTTTGTACAATTAATTGTCTTTTGACAATATTGCAGACCCAAAATGACACATTATATAACCAATACACTATACACTTGCCCTTTATGCTTTCTCTACAAGCTTCTCTGCAAAATCTTCTTTGGTGCATTTCTTTTAGAAAAGACTGTGAAAATTATAATAAACTTACAAATATATATTAATATTATAAAATGTAGAATATTTATGAGATAATCAATTTTAGAATTCAGAATTCATAAAGAAAATTAAATACACTACATCCTTGATGTTTGTGGATGTCAATGTTCAGGAATTCAATCATTCATGATCATAAATTTATGCACCAAAATTTCAACTTTCATGAAAGGTTTTGACCTTTCAGGAAATGGGAGATTATGGAATACCATAGACCGGAGTTAGCACCTGCACAAACTGGATGTTTGAGCAAGTGCAATGCTAGAAGATTACTGCACTCACTCATTCATGTGGTATCTGTCATAAGTTATGTTACTGTTTTGTTTGTTTTTTTCTTTTGGGTCGATAAAATTACTTTTGCAGCACTATAAATTATGCACAGTATATTCATTTACTAAAATCATTTATTTTTCTAAATTTTTTTTAAACAGCAGTAATACATAAATCAAGAGTGGACAAACCTTGTCACGATAGGAACAATACACTGCCTATCAGAAGTAAACAAGGGCTGCATTCTCTATTGGAATGCCTATTGGACACACACATCATCTATTTATAGTATTTTAGCTATATATTATATGGTTATCACTGTTATATAATAAATATTACTCTTACTTTACTAGTACTTTATGACTGACTGACTAGGTAAACAATCAATTAACTCCTTCAATTTTATGAATACTCTATCATACTTTTTTGATTATTATGCTTTCAGTTTCCTCTTTGAAGTTAAGTTGAGAGTTACATAGTGTAATATACAAGAGATCATAACAGAAAACTTACATAGAAATATTATATATGTGTAAGTAGTATGTACCAAGTTTATAAACAGAAATTGTATAAGTATATGGGAGCTGCAATAAGGGTCTAGAAAAACCATATGCAGCTCATGAGCCTCAATTTGACCACCATTGATATAAAGTATTAAAATGAATTACAAATTTAACATTGAAAATAGAACTCAAAGTTCAAGAATTTGATGCTCACAAAGGGTTACTTCATCCCAATTATTCAGGAACATGGGGATAAGTATATATCAACTGCTTACAATATTATTGAAAAGAAAACTAAGGAAAGAAATCCAAAAAACAGTTCCTACAAAATGATTTACATATTCAAATATAGTAGTATAATAATAATTAATATCTATAATTGCTAAGTACTTCAAGGTAAGGATAATTTTTAAACATGTCAATAGCTAATATTTCATTGAAATAAACATTGTTATGATAAAATTGATGACTTAAAAATATACTTTTATTAATTTTATAATAAATAAGAATGTAACAAATTGAAACTTATAAGTAAAAAATTTAAATTTTTGAATACTTAAACAATCAAATTAACTTTTACAATGATAAACTTACTTTTGAAAAACATTTTGTGACACCAAAATCATATGTTTTATTGCAAATTACACTTTGTAGATATAAGAAAGCCTTATTATTATTTGAAGACAATTTAAAATATTCATTCCATTTCTCTTTCTTCACTGAACAAAAATTTTCTTTTCTGTTTTCTGGATAAATAAACTGGTTTGCTATTGCTGATAACTAAATACAAATAAATTTATGTAATCACTGAATTTTTTCTATATAAAATTTTGAAATATATAAAGTTAATTAAGTTTCAAATTAAATTGTTTAATTAAGTTGGAAATTAAATATTACTTTTGTAGGTTCTTGAAGAGTATCCAATATCATATGAGCTAAATCGATGCTACTATTCATGATATTTAAAATTGTAACGACTGGTTCATTTTCTGAATATAATTCATACACATTTTCCCAAGTCACTCCATCTATTTTCAAAATCAAAAATAAAGCATTAATAAATTAAATAAGTACACAAATTTATAAAATGTAAATTAATTATTATGGAAAAAGTCACATCAAAAAATGTGAAAAATTCGTACTTATTTAATTACATTTTCAAATTTTATATACAAAGAAATTATCAGTAGAAAGTGAAGTATAAAGAAAAAATTTTAGAAAGCTCACAAAATAATATTCAACACTACATTTTTTCAATTCATGATAATTTTATTACAGTGTTTTAAACAAAAATTTATTACATAATAGAATTTGTAATGAATTTAAATGAAATAAATAAATTTAACTTTAATTGTTAATTAAGAAATTTTAACAAAATATATTTAAATTAAAATAACATTTATATAATTAATGTTTTTATAAAATAAGGAATTTAATGTTTAAAAGTAGTTATTACTATTGTAATTTCATATTATAATCAAATATTGATCTCAAATAATTCCACAAATGCTACAATAAATTTAATAAATTCTCATATATTTCTGTGCAATGTGTAAGAAATTACTTTTGACTTACAGTAAGCTAAATTCATATTAGAAAAAAATAATTACATAGAAAATCATATGATTTATTATATAACAGTATGTTAATTAATTAATCAGCATTATTATTTAGAAGTGATTTATCTATAGATAGATTAACTATAAAGTGTCAAAACTATATTGCAAAATGAAATTTTCAATATCAGCTATAATAAAGTTGAATTTATGATATTCATCAATGTACCATAATATTGAAAATTATACATAAAGTTTACTGCTCTCTATTAATAATATTTCGTATCCTATTAAAAAAAATAACAAGCTTAGAATTATCTGATGAGATTTGATTTTTCCTTATTAAATTAATTACTCTATATTGTCTACATTATATCTTTTAAACATCTGAAAACTAATATAATAAATAAAACAATTAAGCCAAGAAATTTTGTGGGTTATTATATATGATCTTTCATATATACATAACATTTATAAAATAAATATAAATTATGTATAATAAATAAATAATAAAACAAATAATTAAAATTACCTTTAACTAATTTCAGTGTGCAAGTCATTGAAATAATTATATCATCCACAGTTTTCGAAATATTCCAATTTCCATGCTCAAGAAATTTTTGAATTAAGGTAACATATTTATCTTTTCCAAATTTCATGTCAGGGCTGCTATAAAATATCAAAATTGTTAACTAAAATTTAAATTGCATTTTAATAATTAAAACTTTTATAAAAGTTTTAAAAATAAATAAAATGGGCTGATAGAGTTTGATCATAAATTAAAATTGTTTATCAGATTTATATGTTAAGGCCAAAGTGGGAAGTGTTTGGCCAATTGGGAAATGGCCAATGTTGCTGTAAATTGACTGGCTGGCCAATGTCAGATCTTTTCTTGATTTTGGGATTTGGCTGGCCAGTTTGCAAAATGGCATGGGGCAATCAGCCAAAGTTAGAAAAAAAAAGTCACAAGCAGATTTTGGTGGGTTTGTGTAATTTCATACTTTATATTGATTATTAATTATAAATTATCAAATTCAGTTATGTGTTAAGCTTATTAATCATAGTAAATTATCAATCTCTATCATCACTTGTTACAACAAGATAAACTTTTATGACATTTGGAATTAAACAACAGTTTGTTATTTCTACACTTGCAGCAATTTGTTGTGCACTTAGTAGTGCAATTACATTCAGCCTTGGCCACCTGTCAGTGATTGGGAAGATGCAACAGTTTGTAGCGACTTTTCTTCTGCACCTTCAGATTCCAGTGTGAGCAGTTTCTTGTGCAGAATGGAAAACCAACTTCTGGAATACAGTTGTTTGAGAACACCATGTTTTGTTTCTAGCTTGTAGGAAGCACCCTCGACATTCATAACAATTGCAAGACAACTTATTCCACAAACTGCATGGACATCTTTGTTGCAAAATCCACAAGAATGGGCTGAACTACACTCTTTTTCACACACTATACAAAATCTTTTTACACTATTATTATCAGGCAACTGGTCTGAACTTTCACCATCACAGCAGTCCCTGCATTTATAATATCCTCCATTTTATCACATGTGCCACCTACTGAACAGTCTTGCAACAACACATCGAATTTTGGCCAGTTTGTGAAATGGCCAACCAAAGTAGCATATACACTGGTCATTTCAAATACATTGGACCTTTGGCCACATCTCTCAACCAAAGTGCAAAATGGTCAGCCAATTGAGGAAATTGCCAAACTTTGGGCTTTGGCTGTAACATATATAAAGTGCTAAGACCTAGCATAATTTTAATGCTTTTAAGTATTTAAAGTTTCCACTGAACACCAAATCACTAATAATCTCAAATAAATAAAAGTATAAAAAAATGAGTTATGATATTGCTAGTGATATCATGTTTTTGATGAATGAAACCAAAAAGAGTAAAAAAGTATTTTTTATTCTCATAAATTTTTAATTTTTTTTTCATCTTTGTTTGTTGTATAACTTATCTCAAACTTGGTTGACAAAATAAACAATTTGTATTTCAAAATACTTATGGAATTTAATTTTCATAACATTTAATTCATCCAAAACAAATATTTTCTTTTTTTTATTAAAAAATAAAACCTGCATTGAAAACAATTATATAAGTAGTAATAACTTTTTAGTTATAAAAATTTGCCACCTTGCAACTAACTATTTTAACCACAGTTGGTATTTGTGTGATAGTTATTTTCTGCCATTTTTTTAAAAATAAAAACCATTTTAAAAGATTATTTTGGAGAAATTTTGGACAAAGAAATATGATCATCGACATTATGAGAGTGTAATTATTGTAAATAAGTTTTGGTTATATTCATATCTGTTTCACAATCAAGAAAAATATAGTGATTAATGATCTAAGTTAATTTAATTAGAAGTGTGTTAATGTTAATTTTTAAAGCCGACTAGTTTATTATAATAAGAAATCTTTTAATATTTTTATGTTATATAGGAAAGATTACAAAAAGCATCAATATTATTAATGTTCTTTTCATAATCTGAATCAAAAACAGTATGTTTGTAGTTAACTCAATCAAGTCGAAAACTTGAAAATTAAAAATAATCAAAGAGAATTTATTCCAAAAAATATCAAACGAAATTTTAATTATAGCTACAAGTTAATAAAGCAACTATTCATTTAATCACATAATCAGAAATTTAACACAAAGTGTCATTGTTAGTATACATTGAAGAAAAATATTAGAAATTAGTTAGATCTATTACAGTTAACCAAAGCTTGATGCATAGGGAAACTAATTATCTGAAATCATCTTCAGTGGAACTATTTTGTTTATCAAACTGGCTTCATATAGTTTTATTGAAACAAAAGAATAACATCTATACAAATGCCTGAGAAGTTTTAGATTTGAGATCCAATTTCTAGAAAATTATAACAAAGTACATTCTACAAACAAATATTCCATATTGCAATGGAAACATAAAATTTTTTAAAATTAAATAAGTGCATTGCATTTTTATGAAAATGTAACCAAAACAAGAATATTTTTAGCTGGTTTATTAAATCTACAGTAAACTCTCATATACTTCAAAATACCATAATTTAGGTATTATATATGTTTGGAATTTAATTATCTAGAGTAAAAATTCCTTTTTGTAAATGTGGATACTGGCAATATTGCTTATCTCATTATTAATGTAACAACATATTTATACACATTTACATAAATTAAAAAATTTAATTCAAAATAATCTTCAATATATTTTTTTTATAATTATTATTTATTACTTACATTAATTTATCTAAACTTGTTGACATTCTTTCAATAATTTCATTCCATGTTGTAGAATTAAATAATGGTGAATTTATTTCAATCTTAGGACGATATGTCACCATAAACATTATGTTGTCAAGAAATGAACCTAATTGAGTTAAGAAGTTATTCACTTTAACTTCTGGTGTGGCATTAATTAGAGAATCCTATTAGATAAAAAAACTTTCTTATGATATATAAATAATCAAAATTTAATAATATTAAGAACTATTTTATTTTATTATTTATGATTAAAAACATTATTTTAAAATTAATTTTAGCATAATTTTTTAATTAATTAGTTATTCAAAAGTAAGATATATAAACAGAAATATTTATCAATAAGAATTAA